TCCGAATCTTGATAGTTGCTCGAACCAGCCATTTAAGGACAATGTATGCTAAGTGTGTCTGTCGTAGAGCTGATTTTGTGTTTACTTTCCTTCTTTCTCACAGTTCCTTTGGCGAAATGCCAATTACCTCCTGCTAGAGATAGCCTGCACGATGTGTTAATTCTGATTCCTGGGCCTTTAAACCCAAAAAAGCAATACAGATCACTCTTTAGAATAAGAACTCCAACCAATAGGTTTCTGCTGCTTACATCAGCCCGCTTTTTTACCGGGCAATCTATGGCTTTTTTTCAAATAATTACCTCGCAAACATTTTACACCTCTTCTTGTATGTCTACTCATACAAAAATTTTCTATTGCCAAATCCTCGTTGACAATGTAAAATAGTCCAGACCACGGGATTACGTGTTGTTACCTTAGTATAAGGGCTGAATAACGTTGATTTGCAAGTTGTCATCGGTGCCATTAAGGTTTATTCCATCAGCCGAGGACAAGCCAAGGAAAGAAATGGAGAGAGCTGTTGTGTTACACGATTAGCTTGTTCTCCTAAACCTGCCTTGCCAAGCAATGTTCCGCAGCAGGTAAAGTTTGTGATTATATAATTAGAATATGTGTCGGTTATTCTGTTAATGAGTTTAATATAAGTTTGCTAATAAGATAACGTTCGTCGGTACGGTAAAAAAGGATGGTAAATTTCATGCTAATTTTTCAAGATCAATCATAAGGTCTTTCAAGAATTGCAAAAAAAATCCTGGTTCTTAATCTTTTGTTTACGAATGGGAGAGTTTGTGTGAAAGCAAGAAAGAGACTCTCGAAAGATTTAGGCTAGTTTCGCTATGGTTCAAAATGAAGATTTCTTAAATTTTACAAGTTAATTTTGCTTACTTAAGATCCACTTCCATTCAAAAAAATTTTTTAAAAATATCTAAAAGCTGCGTAAAGTTTTGTAGTTTTAACGTCAGTTCCATTAAGAGGCATCCATCATAAAACGTTGAAATTTTAAACGTTTGATATATTACTGTCGCACGACCTATCCAAAGCGATCCTCAGTGATAGCCGTAGATGAGTGAAAAAAGGTCGTGAACTTATTCTCCTCGTTAATCCTATCCGTACCCAGCTTAACCACTGGTTTCTCTTTGAGTACGCGCGGTGCTCCCTCTCGCTAGCAGTTTTCATAAAGAGAACACAATGAACAACGCAAAACTCCCTGAAACTCCTGCTGCTGCAAGTCGTTTATATCAGCTTGGACAAAGCTTCTTATTCTTAACATTCTCACAGTAGCTCAGGTCGTGTTCAGCCTTGTGAGGAAAAAAATCCGAAAAAGAATGTCTTAGAGTCGTTTCCAGTGTCTTTATCCAGAAGATGCAGAAGTTATAAACGTCGGACAAATCACTTTATATGAGAACATCATAAAATTTTAC